CCCACCAGGGAGCTATGGAATGGGATGCAGGTCTATTACTGGACTGTTTGTGTAAGCATCCTTACAGGGCTGGGATTTAACTCTTAAAATAATTACCTCTTTAACTCCTCAGACTCTATAAATTAGTTATAAAAACGGCTACTCCCAAACGATGCCTATAAAATGCATTATTCTCAGAAGAATGGCGCCATATAGATGAAACCTAACCCTTGTTCTATGGGGAGTGTTGTTATTAGGGTCAATCTTTTCATGCGTGTGATGTGTGGAGACATAGTGATCCTCTTAGGCTCAGCCCTAAAACCAAGCACTACTCCCCAGCTCTCTCCTAGTGTAAGCCAGCTTGTTCCCAAACATACTGCTACCATAGGATTCCTTTGGAATTCACTTCAGAAAGAAATATCTCTACCTTTGCCTCTCCAGAGTCCTCACCTGAAGTATCACTTGAGTAGACATTGATTTCTCCCAAGGGACTGGTGCTTCCTGATCATCTTTTGCTATTCTCTCTGCAAAGCCTTGACTTGAGGTCACTTTCTAGACCTCAAATCGACGTCTGCTTTTTTCTGTAGTTAGCTTACATTTGAGAGGAAGTAGACACATTTCAGGAGCTTGGGTAACTTTCTTCATCCCTAATCACTTCACATCTATTAGACATGATTTGAAGCTGAAAAGATGGCCCAATGGGTAAGACCCTTGCCCTGCCATCTTGAGGACCAGGGTTCAGATCGTCAGCATCCACTTAAGAAGTTAAGCATGATTGTCCACACCTGTGACTCTAGCATTGGGCCGAGGAGACAGGCAGATTAGAGAATTCACTGGCTGGCCAGCCAGCCTAGCCAAAACTGGGAGCTCCTGGTCCAGTGAGCGACCTTGAATAAAGGCAATGCAGAGAACTATAGAGGGAAACACTCAAGTTCTTTGTCCTCCACATGTACTCATGTGAGTACATGCACACAATATCACATGTGTGTAACACACACACACACACTAAGAATCATGTGAGTAAGGCTCAGCACGACGTTGCACCCCTTTAAATCCTCAAGCTTAAGAGGGAGAGGCAGGCTGACTGATCTCTGTAAATTTGAGGCCAGCCAATCAGGTCTACAAAGTGAGTAGGTTAGACCATAGCTAAAAACAAGAGGAAAGAGTCAAATAACACTGTAGACCAGTTGGACCTAAATGATGTACATAATACCATCCCTAAAAGTATTGCTTAATGCTAATTTAAAATTCCCTGGCATCGTATCAGGCATATTATTTTCTTGTTTATTGGGCATTTTACTTCTTGTTTCTTTCCTGAATCCTTATATAACTTAAGGTGAAAGGCAGTTCCTTTTTCTCTCCTATACCACTGAAGGATTTTCAGATCTTTGATAAGCTTAGTAATTCATCTTCTCCCCCTGCTTCAACATCCGATCTAGCTACCCACAGAGTGTTTTGGAAGAGAGGACACAGAAGAGAAATTGAAAACCGGCAATAAACCTAAAATTAGTTGTCTTTCTGTCCTCACAGGTCACAAGACCCTTAGTCATGAAGCTGTTTCCTCTAAATTTTAATTATTTCAAGCAATATATGAAGAAGAGTAGACCTTGAAGCTAACCTCCTGTGAAAATGACTGAGAATCCCTCCCTCTGGTGATGTCCCTTCAGCATTAGATGCTGGCAGTAGAATGTTAGCTCACTCTGTCACACCCAGAAATACAGTACACTATGGGGTAGCCTTGTGAAATCAATAATGCATGCCCAGTTAGATCTCATTCTCAGGTCCCATAAGTTCTGTGTATCCCTAAGTACTATGGAAGACCATTGATGAATTCTCTTTTCAGTCACTGAGACTGGTTTCATTATGTTCCCCTCATCAGACCTAAAGCATAAAAAAAAAAAAATCTTCCTCTAGGTTTTAAATCCAACTAATAATGGAATGACATAAGAGAACACTAACAAGATGAAGAATGAAATCTTGATTTAGACCATCTCCTTCATGTTTTAGACAGAGCAAGTCAGACTTGGACAAAGCTACAATAGAAGTTCTGGGGTCCTGAGATCGACCTGAACCCTAAATCCGCAGGCACGGGACACATGGTCTTTACCAAATTTCTCCCACAACCCAGGCAATATTCCAAGATATTTTATGCATATTAGCTCTTAATGCTTTTTTGAAAAGTCAGAAATAGGAATTATTTCCTTGTTTTTATAAAAATCTCTCCTTTGAGGGATTCATTTCCCCCAAGTTCCCATGGATAATTCAACAACAGAGCCAAGATTTAAATCTCTGTATATACAAACTCCAAAGCAAACCATATTACATTTCAGTGCCTCTTTTTAGCTCTAAAATTTAAGCATTAGAAAACTAGTATGCCCCGTGAAACCTATTCGATTCCTCTGTGGGAAACAAACAAACCAATCAAACCTTCAACTCAGGAAATGCTGCTAGGTTTTTAACCCTGAGCTCCAAAGCACTGAAACCCCTGGGTTTTCCAGTGCCGTACGTCATCATTCCTTCTGATCCATAATACAACAATGATGAAGATATATGTATCTGTACTATTCATAGATGAGTAATAAACTTCACAGAAAATTCTAGACCCCATTTCCTACATCCATGACCTCTACGATGGAAAGAGGAGTTTGTGCTGCCCTCAACATTATGATAATTCGACTCTCCTATCAACCACCATAACCACAGGGTCACCCTCAGGAAAAACAGAACTCGAAGACTCTTGAGTTCATTTCCTGAGGGCTGTGGGGATTTTGGGCTGCAATCAGAAGCAGATAGATGGCCAGGGAGAAGGTCATTCATGTGCCTCTCTGACAGAAATAATGCCCACTCAGGGTTGCTTTGCTGAGGACTTGACTTTGAATTTTAAAAGCAAATGTGAAGCAGCCCGTTGTTTATCCGGGGCTTCTCCACCGAGGAGGATCAAAAGGAGGCTTATCTGTCTGGACTAGAGACAGTTTATTTCCATTTCAGAACAAAAGACAAAAGATCCTGGGGTCTTTTCCTTGCCTTGCAATTCCTGTCCTTTCCCCTCCCTTTCCTGACTGGCAGCGATAGCCTGGCAATTAATCTGTGTATTTTAAGCATGAAAAATCAATTTCTGGAACTTGTCTCATTTATATCACAACAGGAAAAAATGGAAATAGCTTCCACTTGCTGTTGAAGGTAAAAACCTACTTAAGAGGACCTTTCAGACTTTCATTCCTGATACCTGAAGGTCCAGTGAACCGAGGGTATCAGGGCAGGATGTGGACCCAGAACTCGGAGAACTTCACCTTGTGAAAGACTATGAACCACTCCTGATGTTTACATTTGGAAGTTATAAGAGCCTTAGCAAGAGGCCATTGTAATCTCAGGCCCACTTGCTCATTCAAACTCTCACCAATAGCACTCTTACTTAGGTCTTAGATGTAGTCTCACAGAAAGAGAAGGGAGTTCACACAGCAGGACTGAGGCTGGTAGCTCCTGCCCCCATCCCATCACCAGAGAGTCTGATGTCAATCAAGCTGGACTGCATCCTCAGTCTGTCTCAAACAGAAAATGATAAAATTAAATAAGGAAACAAAATACACACACAATATATGGACGAAGTACAGTGTAGCACTGTTGTTTGAAGAGTCCAGATCTGAGGCAGTCTCTAGTCTGATTGTTTCCTTTTGAACATGGAATTTCCCTTAAGACATGGAAAAAATAATTGTGTTTAAAAGCACATACAAAGTAAACGAGGTGAATGGTACTCTGCAAACACCATCAGCTATAGAAGGCCACAGTGTTTGACTTATGTGCTCCAAGACTGGTTGGTTTTTATTTTAAAATCACAGTTTGGAGGAAGGTAAGTCTCAGCTTCACATTACAGTTTACGAATTAGTCCACGAAGTTACTCTAGAGGTCACGCTAATACTATTTCAGGGGACTTTGTCTAGAGGTCAGCCACCAGTCCAACACCAACTGCTTTGAGAAATTCATTTTTGTGTCTGTCCTGATGGTTACCAGCTAGGTAAAATCTTGACCATTCTAAAGGATCTCTACTCTGACTTCAAGCATCCCCAGTCAGTCACAAAGACTCAGAAGATAAAATACCCAGGTTTCCCCCCTGAGGAGTCAGTCAGCTGTAATCCATAATCCTCCGGGAACTAGAGATAAGGGACCTCAGCTAAATGCATGGGGTCCGTCCGGGTCACACAGAGAATATAGGAAACTCTCCTGTAATCAGAGTCTCTTACTAAAGAGCCCCCCAAATCCTTTATATGAGGATTAAATTCCTTTGCAACCTTTCAAAAAAAAAAAAAAGTCTAGCCCAATTAGAGCTAAGAACATAGAACGTGTTGAGACAAAAGGGGAGGCTTTGGCAAGGACCACTCAGCTGCTCTCCCTGGCTTTTTACCCGTTTAGCTTCTTTTGTAACCATTTTTTTTCAGTATTATCTTCTTATTGACTTGACTATTTGCCCTCAGATGCCAGGAGACCTTCCACTTGGGTAGGTCTTTTGTTTGTTTCCTCTAGTTGTGGACTTCAGCTCCTTCCTGTTTTCTTATCCATTCAGAATCCAATTCATTTTCCGGGATGGGTTTCATTGAAAGGAGGTAAGCAAATGTCTCCACCGTGTTCATTTTCATTTATAGAGATGGCTTCATAGCCTGCCTATCTTCTTCTCTACTCGTTCTTGTCTCTACTCGTTCTTGTAACTGCATGACGGGATGGCCAATTCCCAGGGGCCTCTGCGCTCCCCTGCCTGGCCTCACCTGAAAGCCATCTTCTGCAACCCCTTCCGCCGTCCCCCCTCCCCCCATAGCTGTACTTGGTATAAAAGAGTGCCTTTGAAGGATCTTTTTTTTTTTTAAAGATTTATTTATTTATTATATATGAATACACTGTAGCTGTCTTCAGACACACCAGAAGAGGGCGTCAGATCTCATTACAGATGGTTGTGAGCCACCATGTGGTTGCTGGGATTTGAACTCAGGACCTCTGGAAGTGCAGTCACTGCTCTTAACCACTGAGCCATCTCTCCAGCCCCTTTGAAGGATCTTAAATGACAAAAATCTAAAATCAGAAATATGTTTGAGGAAACAAATGTGTTCAGAACTTTAAATTGTCTCATTTCATTGTTTTGCATAATGCGGCTTAAGAAACATAGCCGTTAGACACTGGTTAGTGGTCCCAAAGAAATGCAGCAAAGACCTGGCGGTAAACAGGTGTGGGGTGGCTGAAAGATGCACTTGCAAAGGGAGGAGGGATATTCTAAGACTCATAGCTCATCAACATTAGGCAAAGACAGTAATATAGTGGTCAAAACCAATCAGGGTTCTGAGCTAGTGGCTGATTTCTAGATATAAGCGGAACAGAAGGATGGAGAGTTTAATTAAGGGTTTCTTGTTTTGTTTAGTTATGTTTGGTGATAGAAGTGGTTACGGTTAGATTCAGAGATTGAAGCCTCCCCCAATCCCAGTGGCTCCCTTTCTCAGAGTCTTTAAGGCATGGCCCTGACCAATAGTGTATTAGTGACTACAGAAGGGAGAGATATCAATATCCCTAAATTACCCCTATCACAGGTTTGCATTTCTGGACTCTACTCCATAAGTGACATAACCCGGGGAAGCATTAAAAATACAAGCACTCGGGGGAAATGAAGTGAAGAAAATCACATATATCTAGTCAAAGCCACAGGACTGCGTGGACCATTAGCACCCCCTGTGCCACCGTCAGCCAGTTTCACAAAAGTAATGGAACACAAGATGGCATAGAAGCTAGCGTTTCACTTGGAGCTTTTGCTCGCTCTGGCTGTCATCTTTAGAGAACCGTAGATAAAGGGGCAGGTATTTAAGATCTCTATATGCTGGCCAAATCTCTCTCTCTCAAAAAAGCTGCAGTAAGCAGAATCCTGTTTATGTTGCCACCTTCCGCACTAACAGTGTTGTGTTAGTGACGGCAATGGAGCCTACAGGTAGAGATCACTCACACTGGCTGCTGAAAGTTCAGGCTGAAAGACTTGATAAGAACATCAGAATATATCTGGAGATGCAAGAAGATGGCTTCTTAGCCCAGATAGCATCTGTGTATCCTTTCCGTTGACCGTGTGCAAATCATGCAAATCATTTCACATTCTTTCCCTTTCCACATTCCAAATTATACTAAGTTATAAGGCTTGTCTTTCTCTCATTTAATTGTCTTTTGTCTTTTTTCAAATTTAACACTTAGACGATGGTGTAAAGTAGTATTGCTAGACCCATAGTTAAAAAATAAGCAGAATAAACAGTGAAATTTGATTCCAGATATATGATGAAATGTTTTTTTCTTTTACTCTGAATACATTCTTTTCTTTCTTTTTTTTTTTTTTTTTTTTTTTTTTTTTGGTTTTTCGAAACAGGGTTTCTCTGTATAGCCCTGGCTGTCCTGGAACTCACTCTGTAGACCAGGCTGGCCTCAAACTCAGAAATCCACCTGCCTCAGAAATCCACCTGCCTCAGAAATCCCAAGTGCTGAGATTAAAGGCGTGCGCCACCACCACCCGGCAAATATATTCTTATTCATACATAATTAATACTTACCATTATTTTCAGTGTATCTGTCATTTAAATGTCATTATGTTTGGCAGCTGTACTATAAGGGAACTCAACTGGATGAGACAACACAGATTGGCTGAAAGAGAAAGATTAGAAGTTAAGATAGCCTGAGCTACTTCAAGGAAAGGAAAAAGAGAAGGGAAGGGACCAACATAAAACCAATCACAGAATACTCTGAATCCATTCTGCAACTCGATGTTCTGATGGCTTCCCTCTTCACTAGTCCTTACAGCTGTCCTATAGATGTACACTCACACCCACAAAATATTGCAAAACCAGTCAGCTAGTAAATAGTGCAAACTCAGCCTCTACTGCTCTAGATTTCCTTTCCTACCCCTAGCAACAGTTCTTTCTCTACTATAGCTACAGGCTATTCTAGTGCATTATTTTAAAACTTATAAACAAACTGAGTGGCGGTCCCCCAAGCCTTTACACCCAGCACTTGGGAGACAGAGGCAGGTGGATCTCTGTCAGTTTGACACCAGCCTGTTCTACAAGTTCCAGGACAGTTGAGGCTACACAGAGAAACCTTGTCTTATAAAACAACCAACCAAACAACCACCACCAACAACAACATATAAACAACTTTTCCCTTGGTCAATTCAATAGATTCCTTTGAGAGCATAACACATACCAAAGCTCTGAAGAGATGTCTTTGAGTTGAAAGATAATTCTGAGAATAGCTAAGAGCTTTCTTTCTCTTTGCTGAGAAGTAGGAATGACTTCCATTTCCTATCTCTTGTCCCCTCTCTAAGGGTAAATTATTTCAACTAAGTTACACATTTCTAGATATCCGTGGTCCTGTGTCCAGATACCTTCATCTGAATGAGATCCTTGTGAGAATCAATGCTACAGGAACTTAACTTCCAAAAGGAAAGCCATAAATATGCTAGGAAGCCACCGGAAGAGATCGGTCATGTTACCCAACACCAACCTAACTGGCTTAAATGATGGATGTGATCCTTGAACACTGAGCTGTACACATACGTCATGACCTTACTGGCTGTCTCCCAAGACTGTTTCCTCAGAAACAATAGCCACCTTGGTCTAAAAGCAACACACATCATCCCACCCTCTGCTTTCCACACACCATAATGCATCGCTCCTTGTCCCTCCCTACCCTCCTCCATAGCTACAGGGCAAAGCCATCTGATAGAGCTCTCAGAAGCTCTTAGTTGATACAGCTGACTTAAGGTTTCCTCCTAGACTCTCTACCAGCTAAGACTGGCAGTCCTAGTATAAGGACATTCCCACCTGTCTCCACAAGTGTCCCTTGATCCTCAGTGCTTTCTGGAAGATCTTAGAAGCAATAGCCAACACTAGGTCACTTACATTCTTTTCTCACAGTTTTGATTGGCTAATTATATGATTCACCCAACAATCTGCTGTTAACTAAATAATAAAATATATTATAAATGTATGAACTAAAATTCTTGGTAACATTTCACTTTTAACTATTGCTACTAAGTGTGGCTATCTTATAAGAATTCTTGCTGAGACTAAAATCACCCTCTATTCAGCTGTCTATCAACCTTCCCGCATCTGCCTCTAGAGATCCCTTAGACTCAAACTCAGGGAAGGCAAAAGATTCAGTCTCATGTATGAGTACCTTCGAGGACAATGGTGCTAGGGAAAGATCTACCAGTTTGATAACAACCAGAGACTCCCCAAAGCCTGATGGTTAAAAACTATAGTCTCTACTACTTAGTGATCAAGACAGTAAGTTCTGTGATATTCTTTGAGTTTCAAAATGATTTCAACTCTGCTTGGGCCATTGACTAACACCTTGGGATGTTACTGTTGTGTGTGAAGTTGTCCCATAACAAACATTACAGTATTTGTTTGCTACCTGGTTGTCATTTCCAGCCTCTTAGATATAAATTACTTAAATCAGAAACATTTTTGAACTCCCACTGGACCATACCTATATTTTTATGATCCATATTGGTTGAAATATGATAGTAAAAAGTTGATGTCAGTTTTATACACCTTGAAAGTAACATGTATCTTCATCATCACAGGACTTTGACATGTGTATTAATAGCAATGTAAATAAGTCTGATCTTCAGTTTCTTCCATCTATAAATGTGATGGGTATTAATTTATAGATCTTTCATAAGAAGCATGCAGCTCTCAATATGGAACTCATCCCACAGGTTAAGAAGCATAGCATTGCCGTGTGTGTTCTTTTACCTCAGTTGATATCTGCCAGAAGCAGCTTATTGAAATGTTTCCATAGCAACATGGCCACATAATCCAGTCAGCCACAAGCCAGAGGTTCAAGGGTAAGGATGGTGGGTTAGAGTGAGAATCAAGAACAAGGTGTTGATTCTTTGAAAAAGGCCTCAAGGGTGCTAAGAGTTCTCCCAGGCCCTGATCCATTCAGAACTGCTTTTAGAATTCTTGGCTTTACTGTCAGGACCATCACTGTACCAGAATTTTCAATAATTGCATCATCTAAGTTAGTACAGATAGGCAGACAGATGTCAGATTAGATGGGGATACATGTAGAATAACCCTCTTTTCAGGTCCATTTTCCCTACCCCAACACTCCAGATCCACTACCCTTCGTTCAGATTGTGGCTTCAGAAAACATTACAAAGTGCTGATTACCTATGGTTGCTCCCCCACCACCCCCGATTTAAAAACCCTTTATTCTCACAGAGTTAAGCTGTCTCTGGTTTCAAGTCATTCGTTCTGAATGTCTTACTGATGAGAGTGGTAAGAAGAGAGAATGCAGGGAGGAGCCCACAAGGCATCACTTACCCTCTAAGGTGAGACAAACTGGAGACAGGTCCGCCCAGCATTCCAGGGTGGCAGCACCCTGAACACCACATGGAGATGATGAGAAACATTTCAAGGCTCTAAATCAAGCTGGGACAGGTACTGGAACACTCTCTGAGTCAAAAGGCATTTGGTCCACTCATCAGAGTCATTCTTTATGACTCAAAGGCTTATGGCTCAAAGCTAGCATTACGGTGTTGTGATCGCCTATCTGCCTTTGGGGGGTGGTTTCCACTCCTTCCTTCATCCCTTCCCTTCTTCCTTCATGCCATTTCTCCTTCAGATTCCCACACCAGATGGACTAACTTTGCAATCCCCGTGCATCAGCGAACCCCTCCCGGCTCGGGGTCCCATGAGTGGCACACATGACTCTGGGTGTCGCCAAAGAAGACAGTGGAATCCGTGTGTGGGGTCCGTTGCACAGGATGGGTGCCAGCTCACCCATGGAAGTTATTATGTGAGAGAGTCATGGTGTAGGAAGGAAAGCCCCTGTCTGGGTTTATAATTGAGGCACAGCACCCTTGGGTTGCATAATAAGTAAACAAAAGAGGGGGTGTTGAATGAGGTGGTGCCTCAAGCAAGGGAGTTCTTAAACTTCATGTTGGGGCACAGAGCACAGACAGCCGACTAAGCCCCTTCTCCACCCACTGCAAGACCTGAAAGCGAGAATATGCAGCAGTCTGGCTGTCTTACAGGGAGGCCAACATCATGGCATAGGGAATGAGACCCAGTCTTGAGTGCCTTAGGAAGCTAGCAAGCATCACTCGCACAGTGGGACTGCTTGGAATGCCCAGCTGCTCCCCATGGAAGAGTTCACTCCGGAGTTTCTATGGCTTGGTAAGAACTGCGGAACCAAAGCTCGAGGGTATGCACACGTGAGAACTTTCTGCTTCCACCTCTTACAGACTTTTGGGCTCCAGCCACGGTGCTGGTATTTGATTAAGAGGCCTAGGAGGGAAATCAGCCGCACATGGGCAGATCACAAAACACTCTCCACTTTGGAATCATGGAGTGGAATTCGCATCGGAAGCCAAAAATCCTATCTGCGCCTGCTTCGCTAATTACACCAATTTCCTTGCTACTTTCTGCAGCTGTCTATATGAATTGAGCCCTGGCTCTCAGAGAGGTGCTTCAGGACACAGGTCCAAACATTTGTGAGCTGGGATTCTGATCAATTTCAATACTAGGACAGGTTGGGTAATCTGGGTACGGTGATTTATTACACTTTTTCAGAATATGAAATTGAACAGCTGCCTCACAATCTGAAGTGTCAGAGAAATGAAGGTGACAGAGACACTGGACTGAGGGGGTGGGGCGGTGGGGGGGGGTTCATGCGCATGCGCACAAGTTCCCTATAGAGACAACACTGGTATCAAAGGGAATTGAGAAAGTTTATTGAGAAGATTTTGAAAGAAAAGTTGAAGGGAAATGTGCGCATCTCCGATGTTCCAGATTTCTCTATTAAAAACACAACCGAATTTAAGTATCTTACCAAAATACTGTTTGACCTGAGGAAGATCAGGTAGATATTATGGGATGCATTTCTCCTACACTTCACCTCAATGACCTAATTCTTGTCTCTGGCCTTACCAACCATGTTTTTCAGTGAGGATGAAGAATACAGAGGTGTTGTTGAATACCTAGCATTTCCCCAGTAGATGCACAAATTGTTTAACGCAACGGTTCCTCTGTTAAACTGCAAGCTGGCTGCTCCAGGGAGAGGAAAGGAACCTGGGGAAAATGGTGTTTTGTTGTCATTACTGTTGTTTATTACTTTCCTTCTAATAGAACCATGGATAAGTCTCCTAAGCGTATTGCCCACAAATCTTGTACTTAACAAAAGCTAAACTCTGTCTTGATATTATGTGGCAATTGGGTAGGGGACCCTCAAGACCCTACTATGGTTAAAAACCTGAAGGACATTTTATAGGACACACTGACAAACCAATAAAAATGTGACTTCTTGGCAAGTGTTTTTAAAAAAGAGATAACTTGGGTTTCTTTCAGTGAAATATTTGAAAGCTTTCAATTTTAAACAAAGCCCAGCTGGACCGTACGCACCAGTTCCAAGCTCTGAAACATTCCCATGGTATCTAGTTTCAAAAATTTCTCCTACTGTAAATGGGTGGGTAAACTGTAAGGCTAAGAGACGTTTCCCCCTTTACTGTTTATTTTTGTAATAAAGAATACTTTTGAGTTTAAAAAAAAATGAGAGGAAATATAAAGTGGTCTGGTGGAAAAGGAATATAATTATAATCCCAAATGAAATAAAAATGATAAAATCAAAATTCTTGTTCAGAAAAAAAAATGCCAGAGAGTCTTCAAGTATAGACACTTTGATAGAATTGAAACATAGTCACGTGGTTGGCAGTTATGTTTTGGAGCTCAAAATGAGATTACTGAAAAATCTTTTTGCCATCACCAGTAGGAGTACACTTAATGTTTTCATAGGACACGGAGAGTCAGACCTTTCTGGGCTCCATCTTCTTAGATTAGGCTCTCTTACTGTGATTACCAAACTAATAGATAGCCATGTGGTGATTGTCTTCTGTTATTTTTATCAAAGGCAAAATCACCCCCTGATCCTCATACCTCTCTCCTCTGTTTTTTCTTAACTGTACTCTGCTATCTCAAAACATGCTCTATGCTCTTCCCAGAGATAAAGTCCCTTCTCCTCCCCCTAATGGTTCTATTTCACCTTCTATTCTTGCACCTTCTTTTGATTTGCATTTAAATGTATTTGTTCTTCCCCTGCCCTCCTTGATACTATTAAAGGGTCTTTGAGTTCTTAATATAGCAGAGTATTTCACACTTGATCATTTCTACCAAAAGGGGTAATTGTTTTGTTGGATAAATGGTTTTGATTTGTATGCTATGGTTCAAGGAAAGAAGCATCCAGCCCCATGTGATACTGATAGTTATGTTTGCAAGGTCAGTGTGACGCACATGATTAGTTCCAAGAAGACCCTGCTCAATTGTCTCATGGTTCTGAGTGAGCAGAATCCACAGCTTATATTCCTATCTAGGATTTATATTTCAAGTTCTGCCA